AAGCTCACAAAGTCATATAAGAAAATATACTTCATTCAATTGTAGAAAAAAAAAAATCACAGGTTCTCCTGACTCCCCAGCCCAGTGTTCTTGCTACTGCATCATTTTTGGAGCCATCAATATCCTCCTATGCTATTTCCTTTTTTTGAAATAGGAACACTTAGGACTAGGAGGAAACTTTTTAAAAAGTGTTTATTGATTTTAGAGAGAGAAGAAGGGGGTGAAGGGGGGACAGACAGAGAGAGGGAGAAACATTGATATGAGAAATATCAAGGGGTTGCCTCCCATATGTGTCCTGCCTGGGGATTGAACCCAGAGTCTGGTGGTGTATCAGATGATGATCAACCGAGCCACCTGTCAGAGCAGGAGGAACCATGTGACAGGGAAGATTTCAAATACTTTAGTACTTTTCTGGCTTTTCATTTTTTTTAATATGTAGTCCAATTAAATTTTTAAAAGTATCATAGACTGTCTTATAGTTTTAACATCTCTCATTTAGCTTTACTAACTATATATTCACAAATAAAAATTAACTGTACTGTAAAAATGTAAGCTCCCAGGTAAAATTTTTAGGTCATTCAGTGGAGAATCATGAAAAATCACTTAATTTCTAAATGGCAACACAATGGATACTAAAGAATTAATTTCAGACGAGACAGGACACATTCAGGGTAGTATGGCCATAGACAAGAATTTCAAAGAAGCATTTTGGATAGCCTTCACTTAAATTCTTAGTGAATTCCAATCTTATTCTACTGCATATATTATAGCAATCTGAATCTGCTTGCTTTGATACTCAAGGCTGATAACATTAAGTAAAACTATCTGTAAGGCAATTTATTTTCTCCTTCAATAAGGACTTCTAAAAGTGGCAGGAGAAAGGATTACAAGAGAGAAAAGAAAAGTGAATAGACCCTGACCATTTCTATTAATTGATAAACACAATAATTACTATATATAGTACCTGGCATATATATAATGGAGCTCTAGAAATGGAAAGTAACTTTTGAAAAGGATAATGTTCAGTCTCTTTATGTCTATTCAGACATAAGAATAATCATTGCATGAAAATATATATTCAAGTGATACACCATATAATATAAACTGTAAGTGGCTCTGGAAGTCAGAGGAGGTGTCTAAAGAATACTGGGGAATGTTGAAACCAAGCTTCTTATCCTAGGACTAATCTTTGTCACTTTATGACCTCTCTGAGCCTCAGCTTCTACCATAAAATGAAGAGATCATAGACTTTATGACATTAAGTTCCCTTCCAAATCCATAATTCCACTGATTAAATGGTAAATGCAGGGATAAAGAAGAACAAGATATAGAAAGCTTTGACTAAATATACAGCCAGTTCTGCCATAATACTTGCTTTGAAAATGCAAATTTATTCTAATGCCAACTGACATATTAGGGAATAATTGGAGCATAGTTCAATTTTTGCATTTGCTTGTGTCATTTTATCCACAAGAAAAAGTGGGTGAATCCAGAAAACTGCACGCAGTTGAACCATTCAGCAAAGTGCATACAAACACAATTCAAATAACTCCCAGCTTCTTTGGTTCACTGAGTATTATGAGCCATGCCCATCATACTTGGTATTATAACTATGTCCTATTTCAGATAATCCTTTTACTAGTTCACAAGCTGTAACCCTTCCAACACCACTTCCACAAGCAAACTTGAGGTCTTTCTCAAGGTAAACTAAATGTATCTTCTAAATTCAGACCTTGGTTCTGGCCAAAAATCTTGGCATGTACCAGTTTAAAAATATCTCCTGCTAAATAATGGAATGTTCAATAGCTACTCAATAGCTGCCATGAAAGAATATAACACAAAAAATATTATTTCTGCAATATAGTTGTAACAATGCAGTAGAAACCACAAAACCATTACACTCACTTCTCATTCTTGATAAACTCAGAGGTAAAGAAGGCTAGTGAAATAAAGGAAGTCACATGTGTTTACTAGTTTCAATGCAGACTAGAAACAGGAGACAGATGCAAATCATTTAGCACTGAAAGGTTAGCTAAAACCTGTTACTCAGAGCCAAAGGACAGATAAAAATAACGTTGCTATTTAGCATGCTCAGGAAAGATACATGATGTAATTATTTTGCCTTTCTGAATGAATGCAGACTTAAACTCAAGGCAAGTACCAGAAGTAACAAATGTAAATGTAGTAAGCAAGTCCCCCTCTATGCCAGGTAAAGTTATTTGGCAATTACAGTCTTGATCCTGGCACCATTTCTTAAAAACTACAGCACTATTTTAAAAAATAGTTGAGATTTTTGTTTACATAACAAATACCCATATATATGCAAGACAAAAAAAATAGAAGAAAAATATTAAAATGCTGAGAGTGGTTTTATGTTTAGTTAATGAGATTATAGATGATTGGTTTTCTGATTGTAGCTTTCACTATTTTATACAATAAATGTATATTACTTTTATCATCAGAGAAATATATCTTTTTAGACAACTGACTAAAGCAAATGAATTCCTGATCATATTTCATGTAGAATTCACAGGAAGCCATCACACATCTCTTCTACTTTCCAAAGGGTCAAGGGTGAATGGACTGGATCCACAGGGCATTTCCCAACCAGGCAGGAAAATCTAAAGAGAAGCTGCAGGGAAACTCTGACCCCCAGGAAGGTGGATGACTCTCAACAGACATATCTGACTTGTTTGTCCCCGCTTTCATCTGCCAGCTTTTTGATGACTCATAAGTATTTTAAAAAATCTTTACTTTTTGGATATAGCTAATATAGAGCCAGTTACACAAATTTAACAGTGTCTAATAGCAGAGAATATAGAAATAAGATCTAACCAGAGACCACCAGTGACCAAAGCCTAAGGAATGTACAAAAGGCCACTGTAGATTTTATAGTCCACTTTCTCTCAACCTCACTATCCCAGCAATGACCTATATTCACTTCTCAAGCAAGAAAGAACATATAGGCTAACTTCTAAATAGACAGCACTATCCTAGATGCTGTGGTGAATACAAAAGAAATAAGGTAGTCATTCTCTTTATAGCATTTATAATCTGATAGGAAAAGATAATGACATACATATCAGCGATATTTAAATAACATAAGACAACATAATTAAATGGCTAAATGACCTGTACAGATAAATATTTAAGGTATTTAAGAAAAACTGCTCATGCCCTGGCTGGCATGGTTCAGTGGATTGAGTGCTGGCCTGCAATCCAAAGGGTTGTTGGTTTGATTCCTGGTCAGGGAACATGCCTGGGTATCGGGCTGGGTCTCTGGTGGGGGTGTGTGAGAGGCAGCTACACATTGATGTTTCTGTCCTTCTAAATATGTAAAATCTTAAAAAAAAAAAAAGGACTGCTCACTATGAAGTTCTAGTTGGGAAAGGTTCCAGAGAACAGTTTTGATAGTTATCAGAAGACAAGTGTAGTCATCAAAATAAGCAAAGTCATTGGAATAGAAAAGGCAATGATGAGTCTGGATGGACTGAAATAAAAATGAGGTTTGGGAACAACAGAAGTAAGTAAGAAGAGAGAGATAAGCAGTTTATTTACCTTTAACCCATCTGATAAACCATTACTTAATTAAGAATATTTGTGGGAAAATCTAAACACCATGCTAAATATGACAGAGAGATAAAATATCTAATCTCATAATAATTTTCCAAGTAGGTATCATTATTCCCATTTTCCAAACAGACACTGAAATGAGTTAACACAGAAGTTATCCAATTTGCCAAAGATCGCTAAGACAAGCAACAGAACTGGGATTTGAACTCAGGCCTGCCAGACTCCAAAGTCCATGCTTTTTTCACTACCCCATGATACTTCTGCCTAAAATACAGCTCTGACAACATCACTAAATTATATCTTTCCCCATCACAGTGTATTCTCTTACTCTTAACTATCCAGTGTTCCCCTGGTGATATGATCCTCTACACATCAAAAGCCTGCTCTCAGGAGAGTATCTCAGACAAAATGAAAATGACGAGTAACAGTTCGCCCTGCTCAGGGATACTTCCACTATTATAGGAATCAGAGTCTTAAGTTAGAAGGAAATTCTAATATAAGCCACTTGGTAGAATATGTACCTTACCTTCTCAGGGGCCAGACCAAGTTTGTATCTTACAATGTCCATTTTCACAGCTTATAGCTATTGCTCACACAATGAAAATCTCACTCATAAGCCCTGAGGGTCTCCATGGAAGTCCAACCAGCCCCGATCCGGGACACCAAAGGCCAGATGTTGCTGCAGGTTTGCTTCAGAAGGGAACTAAGACCAGGTATTTCACATTTCAAGTATATGACATAATAAGAAAACCTAAAGAAAATGTATTTGACATTTAAATTGTTAAATGCTGCCCCAAAGTGTGCTCCCTATTTTATTTTATAAAGTAATTTTTTACTGACTTTGGGAATCAGGAGCATTATCTTTATTGTCCTCACCTTTTCTACAATCAAGGATTTTACTGGTACCAAATGGCAAAAGTATCATCTTTCAAAGAAACTGAAGTAAAATTCACATGGAATCCCGGAGTGAGTCACGATGAGTGGGTAGAAGAGCACAGCCTGAGAGATACTGCTCCATGGACAAACTGTAAAAACAGCCATCACTGACTGTCCATTTGCTAAAACCAGAATATACTAATAGGTCAAAAGTCTACTGATAACCTGAAAGTTCCCCACAAAGTATTTTAATGAGCCAAGGAATGAAAAGAATTTCACAATGTGTTTCAGAAGGATTCAAATTCAACATAAGAAAATTTCCAGCAAAGCTTAGATATTGAGTTATATGTTTTACATAGAAAATAAAGGAGGTAATTTGGAAAAGCAAGTGATACTGTTCATTGTTTCTTAACAAAAGTTGTTATATTCCTCACCCTAAAGAAATCACTTTTTATGACATTTCCATTTTATCAATGTTCTAATATGTATACCAACAGACTTCAGGGGTAGAACTCTTTTTGAAGTAGCGGAAGGAAGAATGTTGCCCTTACATATCTCGACGGCTCCTCCAAGTTCTGGTCGTTCATGTCAGTAGGAACAAGCCGGGTAGCCAGTGGTCCCTCCGCAAAAGGTTTTGGTAACTGGCCCCTGAACTCAGATGGAATGAACTGAAGTTGCCAACTGTCAGAAACATAAATAAGGAGAATAATTAAAACACAGGGGACTCATATTGCTAAATGTACTTGAAATAAACAAGCCAAAAAAGTGATGTGAAAAATACTTCATTTCCCTTGGAGATAAAATATTTCTACTAAAACCTCAACCAGGGAGCATAGAGGCAGAGGTCACAATTCAATCCAAACTCATTGAGAAATTTTAAACTCTCAACCCATTTCACCAATCCTCAGCAACAAATATGTAACCAAATGGTCATACCATCAAACACCAGAGAAAAAAGCTTATTTTCTTTGAAGCATCAAAGTTTATTGCCAATTACAACTTATCAAGATTAAAGCAAATTCATCAAGTATATAGAGAAAGATTGAAACGTAAGAACTCACTATGGGAGAAGGACTTGTAATCATCATAAGTATCTTTAGTTCTGAAACTATTTCAAATGGAGAAGCAATGGTAAAGTTAACATTTAAAAAACAAGTTGTGATTTAATCATTAATGGCTGATACAGGATCTTCATCAAGCACAACATACCACTGTCAGCTAATCTGTTAAAGCCAGTCCCCAAATGGAGCAAGATGACTCACCTTAACCTGACTTCCCTTTTCTCGAAATAGGACTCTTCTCTGTCCAAATTAAGCAAATAGAAGGAACTCCAGAACCTATGCTATCACATCCAACAACCGACAGCTTAGAGAAAAGTGGTACAGATGTCCTAACCACAGCTTCCTCTAATATCCATACATTGGTGGAAAACTTCCACTGTTGTTGGATGACAACATTTCTTCTCTAAAAACACTCTTCTTGCCCTGGCCAGGTAGCTCAGTTGGTTAGAGTGTCATCCCCAAATGCCAAGGTTGTGGGTTCGATCTCCAGTCAGGGCACATACAAGAAGCAACCAATGAATGCATAAATGAGTGGAACAACAAATCGATGTTTCTCTCCTCTTTCTCTCTAAAATCAATAAATTTAAAAAATTTAAATAAAATAAATAGATTAAGAATAAAAACACACTTTTGCTAAAGTTTCTAGGTGAATTTTAGAAGTAAATTAATATCAGATCATTATGGAAATATAAATATGAATCCCCAGGGAGAGCCACTTCAGGGGCCCAGGGACCGAAGTGATTTTAGAATTTCCCAGACCTCTGATGTAAGGGCAGTGCAGAGTGTATAACAAATACAGCAATCAGCCTACCGAACCTAGGCAGTGGGTACAGAGTGCAGACCCCATAGCTCTTTGAGATGGTAATTCAAAACTTTTTGTGAAAAATCCAAAACAAAACAAAAATTAAGAGGACATTGCCATAGAATTGCTATTTTACTCTATTTAAAACTCTGGTATTAACTTACTTAGGTAAGTAAGTTTGGGGACTGGCTTTAAGGACAACTTACTTATCAGGCAGGAGGAAGCTGCTAGGAAATCGATACCACTCTTTTCCTACACAGACATTAATAGGTCGTCCTTCTGGGACAGTGTGAATGGTTGGGTCTGTAGCAATTCGGTAAAATTCTGGATATAAATCGAGGGGTGCATGATAGCCTGGAAGGGAAAAAGGTTTGTGAAAACCAAAAATGAGTAACATGAGATTCTGACATGTAATTACAATGTATTTAATATCTCACGTAATCTATGTGAAATTAAAGATTATAAAAAATATATAATCACAGGATTTGAGCCCCAAATCTACACCCTAAGTTTAAAACTTCCTTAATAAGGAAAAAGCATCCTTTTAAAGGGAAAAAAGTTGAGAATAGAGAAAAAAATTAGTTAATCACACTTAAAGGAATCTCAATTTTCTCTTCAATCTGAAGATCCAGAAGTCATATCCCAGACTTAATATTAAGTCCACATGTTCTCCCTATAGAAAAGTCCTCCTCCCAGGTTAAGCTGAATTGTGTTAAACAATCACACATCAAGCAAAACCCAAAGTGAAGTGCCTCATGAGTCTGGGTTAAGGCATTCTTGGTACACTTACCTCTGAACAGTGCCACAGAGCGAGAAAAGGATAAGAGTCCAAATAGGAACAGTATTCCTAGTGCCAGCCAATTTGAAGTCACAGTATAATGCTCTAGGCGGTATCGCTGAAACATGAAGTGGTAACATTTCTGGAAGGAAAGAAAAACTGTATTAAAAAAAAGATACACCTTGCAGAATACACATATTCAGAAGACATCATAGTAAAACAAAAAGGGAAGAGGTAGCACAAGAGGTTCTATCAAAGATCTGAGCATTTGCAAACAGTGAGATACCCACTCCAAATTCTAAGATCAAAGCAAGCTCCATTAAGACAACCTTAAGGTCAGCCTGGCCAGCAGGCTTCCTAAGAATGAAATCTCAGTAGTTTCATAGGAAAATGATTTGGATATTTCTCTAAGTTCTTAAAATGCTAATAATTTATTTTTTAAAAATTTTAAACAAATGCTTCTTTATAGTTTGATATATAAAGTATCAATCTATTTTGATATAAAGATTATTAATCTTTACTTTCCTTGCAGACAAGTTTTCATCAAAGTTTTCAGTATCAACAAAATATTTTATGACCAAATAAGAAGAAAAAGGAATTTCTCTCATAAAACATTAGGAAAAGGCTGTTTATTATCTGCTAAACTATATAAACTAAATGAATATCATTATGATATATTTATAGATATAAGGTCTGTCTAGAAAAAGTCCAGCCATTGTTAATATAATGAGAATGGTTTGTACAACGTTAGTGTAACCTGGCAGCCAAGGAGAGTGGACTGGAATGAGCATGCGTGAACAATGACAATTTCACTGTACTAGTCAGTGGAGATGGTAGACGCCATTGAGTGAGCATGTGTAGTGTGTGGTCATTGCATTAAAAATGATTGAGTAGAGCAACAAATCTGCATCAAATTTTGCATATAGCTTGAACATTCCTGTGTTAAAACTATTCAAATGATTCAGAAGCCTGCAGCTATGGACAACTGGTGATTGGCATCTTCATCACGACAATGCACCGCTTAAGCATCACATCTCCTGCAGAGTATTTTGGTGAAATATCAAATCACCCAGGTGATTCAGCACCCCCTACAGCCTAGATTTGGTGCCCTGCAAATTCTGGCTTTTCCCAAAACTAAAATCACCTTTGAAAGGGAAGAGATTTTGGACTATTAATGAGACTCAGGAAAATATGACAGGGCAGCTGATGGTGATTGGGAGAACCGTGTGAGGTCCCAAGGTGCCCACTTTGAAGGGGACTGAGGCATCATTGTCTTATGTGCAATGTTTTTTATATCTTGTATCTTCCCCAATAAATGTCTCTATTTTTCTTACTACATGGCTGGATAATTTCTGGACAGACCTTGTCATACATTAATTCTACAATCTTTAAGCACCATCCCAATATATATCTTTCCTTCCTCCTCCCCTTCCTAGACTAGAACTACTTTTGGAAAGCAATTTGCAATACATAACAAGCACCATAAATATGTTTAGATGTCTATATTTTGGGAAATCTGTTGTAAGTGAACAATCCAAATACCTAAATAAAGATATTTGTCCTAGCATTATTTATAATACTGAAATGAGTAAGCAACCTAAACTCTAACATAAATTATATTTGATCATTATATTATAATCAATTCAATGTTATATATTACAGATTACATAATAATACATATTATAACTGATCCAGAACATTATTCTGCTATTAAAATGATGGGTATAGATATGGCAACATAAAGAATGCTATGATATGTGTAATTATATTAAAAGGGATATAAATTATATATAAACTTAGATGACAACCAAAATATACTTGGATATGTGATAGGCAAAAATTTGGGCAGGTGTTTTGTTAGTGTGGTAGGACTAATTTAGAAAGTTGTAAAAGAAAAATTACCTGCAATGAAGTTCAATTACTTTTATAATTAAAATTATTTAAAAGTATCCTGACATGAATGAGCCTCAACAACATTATACTAAGTGAATGAAGCTAGTCACAAAAAGACCAGACATTTTCATTCCATTTATATGAAATGTCACAAAACAGGCAAATCTACAGAGACACAAAGTAGATTAGTGGTAGTTATGACTGGGGAGATATGGGAAAGGGTTGTGACGACAGCTAGAAAGTGCAGGGTTTCTGAAGTGATGAAAATGCTCTAAAATTGAATGTGGTGATGGTCACCCATATCTGAGGGTATACTACCGGGTTGGCCAGAAAGTTCGTTTAGTTTTTCTGTATGATGGCTTTAGTATAGTGCTTAGTTGTCCTTCGTTGAAGAGCAGACAATCCATTAGCTCTGCTCAGAAGCCACCACTCTGTGGTAGGCCCATACAGTGACTTAAAAACACTTGGATTCTGGTTGGCAACAAAGTCAATTAACACACAAATTAATACTACAAATATGTAATCAGCAAAAAAGATTACAATTAACAGCTAAGCAATCACTACATAAAGCTTTAATAATATGATCTATACCAGGTTTAATGAATGGATAAAATATATTAGGTGGAAGCATTTTGTAATTTGCCTTTAAGCCTAAGGAACAATTTAAAATGTGAAACAGAATGAAGCTGATATACATTTCCCTGAAACTCACCTGAAGTGCAGACAGGGCCACAGCGCCACAGAGACATATAAGTGGATATACAGGGAAAAGAAATCTCTCTTCTTTGTGGGGCTGGATGAAGAAAATTATAAACCAGATATACATTGGAGCCAAGGTAAGCCAATATGGGTGGCCTAAATTCTGAACTGCAAGACACAGAAAAATATCCACGTTTCACCATACTAAAATAAAACAACATATTGAGTTTCAATGTTCTTTTTATCTCAAACATGAAAATATGGCCTACGACACCCCATAAAAGATTTTAATTCTTGTATTCACACCTTCTCCAATGCAGTAAAGAAGTACAAAGAGGTATATATACTTCTAACTAAACTGTCCCAAGAGCTCTAACATCTAAATGGAGGCACAACATGAGACTTGGCTAGAACAAATGGAAATCAGGTGAATGAGAAATAGAACTTAATCCCTACACTGAATGAAGAAAAAATGTGTTCTCTCTTAAATGAGTCTTGCTACTAAGACTAAAGTTTCCTGAGATTAACCAAAAGCATAACATAAATTCATTCTTGAGTTTTAATTCCTATGTTGTGTTCAATACATTAACCTTCTTACACATATGCTAGTCAGTCTGTTCAAATATCTACAGATGAAAGGAAAACAAAAAAGAGCCAAATTCTCAAATCCATCACTGGTTTTTATTAAGTCAAAAATGACAAAAAGTTTGTTTCAAAGCAAAAAAATTTAAAAAATTCTTAAAGGAAGTTTACTGATCAAGTTTTCTTTTCTTTCCTGCAAATATCCACCCACTCTGAATTCCAGAATTGGAACCAAAATGTACTTAATGCAGGTGAAAGAATTAAAGGAATTTAATGAACACTAAGACCACGCATCTGCTGCAAAGTTCTTATGGTTAGATGCCTACACACTATATGATAAGCCTGTAACCCATAGTGAAGGCACCCCACACTGTGCTTATATTGGTGATAATGAGCAGTGTATAGAATCACTGGCAAGTGGTAGATACAGAGCACCCCATGTTGTCCATTATGTCTACAATGAACAATTTCAGAAGAAATGACTGTCATCAAGATCCATCATAAAAATAAAAATTTTAAAAACCAAAATTTTTAATTAAAAAAATCTACCTTAGCGATGCTTGATTTAGCATGCCTAAATTATCTGTATTTTTTGTTAAAGTTTATTTATTGATTGATTTTTAGAGAGAGAGAGAAATCTATCTGTTGTTGCATTTATTTATGCATTCATTGGTTGCTTCTTGTGTGTGCCCTTTCTGGTGGTCAAATCCACAACCATGGCATATTGGGATGATGCTCTAACTAACTGGGCTATTCACCCAGGGCCTAAATTATATGTATTTTTAAAAAGAGATTTTATTAATTTATTTTTAGAGAGAGGGGAAGGGGAAAAAGAGAGGGAAAGAAACATCGATGTGAGACAAAAACATAGATCGGTTGCCTCTCATAAGTGCTCCAACCAGGGACCAAACCGGCAACCCAGGCCTGTACCCTGACTGGGAATTGACCTGGTGACTTTTTGCTTTGTGGGATGACACCAAACCAACTGAGCCACAATGGTCAGGGCAATTATCTATATTTTTGAAGAAACTCTATAGCAGGGGTATCAAATTCATTTTCATCAGGGGCCACATCAGCCTTGTGGTTGCCTTAAAAAGGGCCAAAATAATTTTAGGACTCTGTAAATGTAACTACTCCTTAACAGTTAAGCAGTTGAAATTACATTCTGCCCTTTGAAGGCAACCACAAAGCTGATGTGGCCCCTGGTGAAAATGAGTTTGACACTCCTGCTCTATAGGGATAAAAATCCTTGAACTGTAATAACAAGTTTATCTCTTAAACTTTCCATTCTTACATTTTATCATGAGATTTCAGGCTATAATTTAGGATCTGTCCCTTCCTAGGAAGTACAAGGTATGTCCGAAAAAAGTCCAGCCATTGTTAATATAACGAGAACAGTTTGCACAACATTGATGTAACCTGGCAGCCAAGGAGAGTGGACTGGAATGTGTATGCATGGGCAATAATGACTTCACTGTACTAGTTAGTGAGGGCAGTAGATGCCACTGAGTGAGCATGTGTACGGTGTGGTCATCACATTCAAAGTGACTGAGCAAGCAGAGCAACGAATCTGCATCACATTTTGCATTAAGCTTGAACATTCCTCCATGGAAGCCATTTGGATGATTTAGAAGGCCACAACTATGGGCAACTAGTGACTGGCAGCTTCATCATGACAATCCATCACATCTTCTGCAGTTGTTTGGTGAACCATCAAATCACCCAGGTGACTCAGCCCCCTACGGCACAGATTTGGCACCCTGCAACTTCTGGCTTTTCCCAAAACTAAAATCATCTTTGAAAGGGAAGAGATATCAGACCACTCACTGATGAGATTCAGAAAAATACAATGGGGCAGCTGATGGTGATTAGAACTGTGTGAGGTCCCAAGGTGCCTACTTTGAAGGGGACTGAGGCATCATTGTTCTATGTACAATGTTTCTTGTATCTTGTATCATCTTAAAGAAAAGTCCCTATTTTTTCATATTACATGGTTGGATACTTCTTGGACAAACCTCATTATTTTAGGTTGGAGTTTTCTTAATTGAAGGAAAGTAACCTATCTTTTACAAGTAAACAATATTTTTCTCTTCTGTATCTCAAAGGCTAACAAATGCATTTTTAAAATATGGCCTAAAATTTTGAAATGTCCTCCACATAATATACAAAATCAAAACAACAGTTGTACTACATGATAGAAAATAAGTGGGTAATTTCTTTCTCAGTTCTTTATATTTTTTCTTTTTAAGAAGTATTATTGCAAGCCCTGGCTGGCGTAGCTCAGTGGATTGAGCACGGGCTGGGAACCAAAGTGTCCCAGGTTCGATTCCCAGCCAGGGTACATTCCTGGGTTGCAGGCCATGACCCCCAGCAACCGCACATTGATGTTTCTCTCTCTCTCTCCCTCTCTCCCTCCCTCTCTCCCTCCCTCCCTCTCTCTCTCTCTCTCTCTCTCCCCCTCCCTCCCTTCCCTCCCTAAAAATAAAAATAAAATCTTAAAAAAAAAGAAGTATTATTGCTATTATAAAATACATAAAAAGTATAAATAAAAAACAGAAAGCATTCATTTTCTTACTAGGTGGACATTATACATTTTTAAACCAAAATTGGATTCATACTGTAGAAAACAGCTTAATGTACTCTTTTCATACTTGCACTACAAACATTGCCAAATTTTCAACAAGCATACATTATTTTTATAGTCAGGAAAAAAAGTTCCTTTCCAAAAAAAGAAAAAGTGATCCTTGAGAAATACAAAAAATGGAGGAATCAATTGTCACCTCAATGGAACAAACAGCTGAATACAAACGTGGGGCACTGCAAGACAAATGGCCTCCTTTCCTCAGAAATCTTCAGGAGAAAAAGGTGAGAATGAGAAACCTCTTAAAAAGTTTACGGAACGTAGTATTAAATTCAGTATATGACCTTTGTTTAATCCTGCTTTAAAACAAACTAACTGTAAAAAGCTATTTTTCGGACAATGAAGAAAATCTGAATATCAACTTGATATTAGATAACTTTAAGGAATGAAGGCATTATAGTTATGTTAGTATAGTTACCTAATTATTAATATTAGAAAGGAGCCATGGCTGGTGTGGCTCAGCAGATTGAATGCTGGCCTGTAAACCAAAGGGTCACTAGTTCAATTCTCAGTCAGGACACATGCCTGGGTTGCAGGCCAGATCCCATTGCGGGCATGTGAAAAGTAACCACACATTGATGCTTCTCTCCCTCTCTTTCTCCCTGCCTTCCTCTCTCTCTAAAAATAAATAAATAAATAAATAAATAAATCGTTTAAAAAAAAAAGGAAGGAAGCACAGGGAATCAAATGTTAAGCTTAATGAACTAGGGAGTGGAAACAAATATTAAGGTTAATAAACTGGGAGGCTGAAGCAGACACTTAGAGCAGCTTTCCATTCAGTTTACTAAGAGGCTACAGTATAAACAGACTCACAAACACTGCAGGGGACTGCTGCTGAGGAGACTGAGTCCTCATAACACAGGAAATCTCCTGAAGAGCACACTGCTTGCCCTTCAGTACCCATTGTTGGAGGGTGCACCAGCAGGTGCTTCAGTATAGAAGCCTGTCTGTCTAACTAGGGGGTGGGCCCATCATGAGCCCCGAAAGCTTGGGAAGTTGATTGGTTATTTTTTAAAATCTCCTGTTTATAACCCCAGGGGAACAATGAAACCACCTCCTCTCTCTCTCTGATTCTAACTTGTCTCACTCACTGGACTGTTCTCTCTACATAGCCATGTGGCCTTAGCAGTCGCATGGATGAACTCCAAACACAGGCTCCAGGTAAGAGCCTGGACACAGCAGCACAGGTGAGAACATGAGCTAAGCTAGAAAATGGGGACTCAGACCACAAAGAAACACTGGGCACTGGTCTTTGTTTCAGCCTTACTGAACACATGGTGGGATAGATAGTGATGGGACATTGAGAGCCCAGGAGGGGCACTCTTTTGATTTTGCATTGAGCACCCAAATAAATCTTACTACCAGATCTCATCCTCCCTTGTGGGTCCCTGGAAATGCTTTTTCTTGAGATACTGCAAGGACTCCACTTCCACCCCCAACATCTGGCGAGCAGCATGAGTGGGAGGAGCTGTGGCTTGCAGTAAAACTCCTTGATCTTTGCCCTGGCTAGGTGGCTCATTTGGCTGGAGCATTGTCCCATGCACCAAAAGGTTGTGGGTTCAATCCCCAGTCAGGGTGCATACAGAAGAGGGTCAATTCATGTTTCTCTCTCACATTGATGTTTCTCTCCCTCTATCTTCTCTCCTTCTCTTTCTGTCTCCTCCCCTACCTTCCTCTATCTCTAAAATCAATAAACATACCTTTGGGTGAGGATTAAAACAATAAACATAAATAAAGAAAAAAGAAAACTGCTCAATCTTCATTTGTCTCTCCCCACCCCTCTACTACCACCTGTATTTCTTCCATTTATTGTATCACTGTTACAGCCCCATGCAGCTCAGACTGTAGCTTGGGCATAACCTGTCCTGTGTCCAAAATGAGCAAGGGCAATGAGCATATGGGTGCCAGTGGGTCCCTGCAGGGCAATGAGCATGTGGGTGCCAGTGGAACACAGAATGCAGGGAGCAAGCGCACACCCACTGCTGCCTTGGACTTTACTCCTGGCACATGAAACCCCAAGTACGCCCAGCTACTACATCTCCATCTTCTGCATAGGAAAGGGGATTTCCCACAGCTATTGCCAAGCCAGCTGAGCTGTGAGCAAAGTGAACACACAGCTCCTTTCCCATTTTGCCTTTTTCTGCTGTCTCAGACTGTGCAGATTCCCTGCTTCCTAAGGCTAAGCAGCAGGAGCCTGCAGTCTCCACAGGCAAGGGGCACTCGGGTCCCTGCCCAGAACCCAGCTTGGGGATTTCCCCTCTTCAAGCAATTGCTGCTTGCTTTCATACCAGCAAAGCCTTGCATTTGGTAGTCTTCTCAACTGATAGTCTTGCAAATTCAGAAACTGGTTTATGATTTGATGTGTTCATTAACCTCTCTGTTCTTCCTTCTGTTTTCATAGGGTATATGCCTATGAGCTTATTTGCCTGGTTGCTTGTTTACATGGCATAGGCCTCTCTTTAGAAGCCCATGTACATCACCTTCTCCTGAAGTAAGACTCAATGGTTTGGCTGGATTGACTTGTGGTCAGGAATAGCTGGTTGAGTCAGTGAAGTATGGGGCAGTCTATTGATTTCACTTGAAACTGCTTTCCTTTTATGCCCTAATGGTTCAGACGGAAAAGGCTCAAAGGTCTTTGTGGGGAAAAATCTTAGAATGTTCATTCCCAAGCAGAATTTGACTTAAACAGTAAACGAGAGGGCTTCAGACAGATGTGACACACCTTGGTCCAGGGAAGCCATTCCTCCAACCTAATCTGGGACATTATCAAGTTAGTCCCTCCCTCTATCACCTGGTTCTTACCTCTCAGCAGACCTTTAGTTGCTATAATTCTCATTTTTGGACTATGTCTTCTAATCTTCTTGTTAAATTTGTCACCTCAAGAACACAAGGATCCTAGCTTATCCAACATCGTCTTCCTCTAGATATCACGTATGCTGCCTCTCAGGCACAGATGACTAACCTGGACTTTGCAAAATCCCTCTTCCCTGTATAAATGAGGCAGGAGGTAGTCAGGAAGGAAGCTCCCGAGGCCCCGCAGGGCTGAGGTAGAAAACACCTATACATGACAAAGACCCCCTAAGACGGGTTGTTCCTGTTTTCTGGGACAACTCTGAATCATAGAATGCGCCTGCGCGCTACCCCTGATTCATTATAATATCATTATAATGAAATAACATTGTGGGACTCCCTTCTCCAGTAGCCAATCAAGAAAGTCATGGGAAACCACGCATGCGCAGTAGCTTTGAAATCCAACTCCTTGTACCTGCGCAGGAAAAGCCCGCCAAAGACTAGCAGGGGGCTTCTGCCCCTATAAGAATAGAACCCCCAGCCCACGTGCCCCTTTTTTCCTCTGCTCAGAGCTGGCTCACTCCTGTGTCCTGTGGTGTGTACTATCACTTAATAAACCCCCCCTCTTTCTTTATGCTATAAACTTTGTGTGTTCGGTTCAATTCTTTGTTCTCGATCACTAAGAACCTGGTTACCTGTGCACACCTGTGCACACCTGTGACATAAAGACTCTCCTTCCCTTTTTGCTCCTTTCTTCCTTCAGCAGATAAGAAGACCCTCTGGGCCTGGGAATAGGCAGGACTACATCTTTGACAGCAAAAAGCAGCTACAGAGGATGAGACCTTCATCTATTTACCCTTATAAGATTATAAGGCCCAAAGTTTTCACAGGGAAAAATGTTAGTGTAGTTAGTAATTATTAATATAAGAAAGGAAGCACAAGGAATCAAATATTAAGTTTAATAAACTAGGGAGGTGAATAAATATTAAGCTTAATTTAATAAGCTGGAAAGCTGAAGCAGATATTAGGACAGCATTCCATTGAGTTTACTAGGAAGCTATAGTATAAACAGATTCATTCATACATTCCGGGGGACTGCCACCAAGGAAAGTTAATGCAGAGCAGACAGGAAACTCCCCCTGAGGGTGTTGCTGGCTGGGTACTGGATTCCCAGAGGGAGAATGGGGGGAATCTCCTCTGCTAGGTACATGTGCAGTAGAAACCAGACGACATATTAGAACTTTTTGACATGAACAATAGAAGTCAAGATAGCACAGGGGGAGGTATTTCTACTCTTGGACATGTGCACTGAGAACCAGGGTGATGACATAGAAGGTCAGAGCCTAGCCTGGGAAATACTGGAAAGGTAACTGGATTGACTAGAGGGCATGGAACCCCACTAGGTCTAGGAAAGGAATTGGTTAGAAGGAGGGTCCAACTCAAGCCCAGGAAAAATCAGGAAGTTGGGCTGGATGGTATGAATGGCACCTTATTCTTTACCAAGAACTGATAGGGGACTCAAGACTTGGAAAATTTTAGCTTAAGGTAAAAAGTTATAAGTCTAGCAAGTAATGTGTATGTTAAAGCTTTTGTTTCAGAAACTACAGATAATGCCTATCCTGGTTCCTGGGAAAACAGCCGACCTCCTGGGGCACTGCTAAAGATTACTGCCTGGGGACATCTGGACCTTTTGTGTCCCAGGGAGAGCAGTTGACAACCCTCCCCTGGAAACAGCTAACTGCCCAGAACAGGAATGCTGAAGCTTTGCTCATCTAATCCTACCTGAATTTCAAAGTCCTCACCGCTCCTTGTTTATCCACTCACCCCACCTTATAAAAATTCTGTCCAGGAAAGAGAAAGACAAGATGGTTTGTTAGGGTATAAACCCACCATCTTCTCAAATCTCAGGCCATCTGAATAAAGCTCCCATAAAGATTCAATCGCTGTCATTGCTTACTGGGTTTGGTAGTGACAGGCATCCTGAACGCCGGCCAGTGTCGTTTCCAGTTATAGAACCAAGAAAATATATGGAGGATTAACAGGAGCCTAGTGGCAGTTATTGGTAGAGCCTACCTGCCTTCTATGTCCCTGAGGGTTAATTCCCTTAACTCCAATAAAATCTTGCCATGATGTTTAAACTTCTCCACACATATACTGTTTGAAATTCTTTTCTCTTGACACCACAAAAGAGCTCATTTTTACTAGCAACAGTTGTGTTAAAACAGTCCTCACACAAAACAAAAGTGACTCTGAAGACTGCTGTCATAGTCTATTACTATAATACAGTGAATTCTTCAAAAACCGGGAATAGTAGGAAAGCAGAATAAGGGGTGGAATGGAGGGATCAGTTACATGGCATCCAAATCAGACTGAAAAGTCTGAAATAAAATCTCTTTCCAAGTGTCATATAACTTTCTGCTCAAATCTGTATTCCGTAAAAGAAACTATGGGCACTGGATATCCAAAGCCATGACAACTTGAGATAACACTGGCTGTCCAATACAGAAACAGAGTAAGCAAGTGACAAACTAAAATTTTCACAATACTGCCAACATAGAAGGAAAACAAAACAAAGAAAAGCATTATGCTTCTTAGGAAGTCCAAAGCTTCTCTCACTTCAGTATCCAATGGGGCTTAGTTTTCAGATTTTGGGTGGAAGTAATTTCCCAAAGAATGTTTGCCTCTAGCATTGATTATCTTAAGCAATCTATCATGTTAACACACACTTCTTTAAAAAACAGAAGACTCCATCAAATAGGCTTATCTTCTGAGATTTTATAAGTGTTTTTGCCTCCCTGGGTGGTTCTATAAATTATATTGACTTCCTCACTTTAAGGGCTATAAAGCTCCTCCCTGCCAGTTTAACTTGTAATTATTAACCAAATCTTCACAGAAGTCTAAATAATCTTCACATACAGACTGATAATTCAAAAAGCCAACCATTTCCATAGGAAGAAAATGGAGAATAAATAAGCAGATTCTTTTTCACTTCTTGGTATATATTATTACTTGCTCTTTTCTCCCCCCAAACTTATCATCCCTTATGCCACTCACCATGAAATCTCTGCAGTAGGTGTTCCATGAGAGAAGTCAGTGGTAAGACCAGGAGAGCCAAGGCAAAGACTACATTAAAATTCAGAAATCCATTCATTAAATAGAAATGCCAGGGTTCTGTACCTGAGGGAGACAAAGAGATAAGAAATCATTAGTAGATGCCTTCAATAGTATTACAGTGTTTGATTCTTAATATTCTACATTTCAGTAATGATGATCCAATGCCCCAAGTAAGAGGGTCCACAAGCCCACTCTTTCCATGTTCAGCCACACACAGAAAGCACAAGAGCAGAAGACATAAGATGGGAAGAAAATGGGATTGGTCATGATTTAGACAGAAATCAAGTTTCAAATATTAAGCTGTATTTTCTATACTGACCACTCTATTTCAAACAGCAATGCCCCACTGGGACAAATACTTTGTCAAAACAACCAAATAATTTAAACATTACTGGTGCTACTGTGATTTATAATAAGCAATACGTATTTGGTCTTCATCTCCATTCTGATACAGAACTCCTAAAACTCTTGGAATTTCCTAAGTGATCAGAGTGATAAAGTGTCTTTTGTTATGTTAATTAGGGGACTTTAGGAAAGCCCTAGATAACCTAAGAATGGGAACCAGTTGCCAGGGGAACCAATTTTATGATAGAGGGTCAGAATTTTCAATCCTACCCCCTGAACTCTGACATCAGGGGAAAGGAGAGGGGCTGGCAATAAAGTTCAATCACCAATGGCCAATGGTTTAATCAATCAAGCCTATGTAATGAAGCCTCCATAAAAACCAGAAAGGACGGGATCCCACATTGATGAACACACAGGTGTGAGGAGAGCAGAGAGAACAAAGGGCCTCCAGTTTCTTCCCACATAACTTGCTCCATGCATCTCTTCAATTTGGTTATTCACTTAGATCCTAAAATAAACAAACTTAAGTACATGTTTCTCTGAGTTCTGTGAGCTGCTCTAACAAATTAATTGCACCCATAGAGGGGGTTGTCAGAACTTTTAATCTATAGCTAGTCTGTCAGAAGCACCAGTGACAACCTGGACATTCCACTGGCATCTGAAGAGGAATGGGCGGGGGGGGCGGCAGTCTTGTAGAATTGTGCTATTCAGGCTTTTCCCATTTTCTTCTCACTTGTTCATCCTGATAGGAGACTCAAGAGTTGGAAAATTTTAGCTTAACGTAAGAAGTTATAAGCCTAGCAAGTAATTGTGTGTGTTAAAGCTTTCGTTTCAGAAACTACAGATAAGGCCTGTCCTGGCTCCTGAGAGAACAGGTGACCTCCTGGGGCACTGCTAAAGATTACCACCTGGGGACAACTGGAGGCATCTGGACCTTTGTGTTCCAGGGAGAGACAGACACCCATCCAACCACCCGGCCTTGGGAACAGCTAACTGCCTAGGATAGGAATGTTGCAGCTTCTTTCACCCAGTCCTCCCTGAATCTCAAAGCCCTCACCACACCTTGTTTATTCCCTGCTATAAAAACCATGGCCTGGAAAGAAAAGACAAGATGGTCTGTTAGGGTATGAACGCGCCATCTTCTCAGATTGCTGGCCTTCTGAATAAAGCGCCCATAAAGATTCAATCACTGTCATTGCTTTTTGGGTTTGGTAGTGACAGGCAGCGTGAATGCCAGTGTCTTTTCCAGTTTCAATCCCATTTACATTCTAGTATCTTTCCCCTTGATATGCAACTACTATTTTATAGTTATATATACAGGGGACCTTGTGTTTGGTAAATAGCACAACCTGTTTTCCTTAGGAAAACAATGTTCAGAGACCCAGACCCTGCTCAGAAGTTTTGAAGATTCAGAATGAAACATGACTAAAAACATAAGCTTTATTCATGTTAGCTTTGATTCTTTAACTTAAAATCCTTAAAACCTAAATGATGAGACACAGTCTCCCCCCCCTCCCCATTTGGAAGGTTTTTTCTCTTCCCCTCTGGGTGATTACTTCAATCAGGCAGGGAATGACACACATGGGTTTTAATCACTGTGTTGTGACACCCACCTTGCACCACAGCAATTTCCTGCAATCAGTGTTTCTTAAAAGGGTAATCAGAAGGCAGAGGAATAGTCAGAAAAACCTGACATTTTTGCAGCTTGCACAGCAAAGTAAGACTAGGAGTCAAACTTATAATGCTAGAAACACTAAGGAGAGGAGTAAGACAGGGGTTGGGGGCATACTTAAGGAAGTACTCAAGTTTAATTGTGTGTCACCTGTTGGGAAAGTTCACTCTCTCCTGTCTAAATACAATGATTCAGCCTATTCAGAAACAGAGGTCCTAACCCAGGCCAAATTCATCAGAGACACATTTTGTTATTCTTTATAACTAACTTTTGGGGTTACAGAAAACAAATGGATGGTTTTATTAGAAAATATGTCTTCTCTGGATTTTAATTAATATTTAACAACACATTTCCTAACTTGAGTCCTTTAGGAGGACTCCAGAGAGGAACGTTTTGCACAATCCTCTCCTGACTGCCAGTGTGGAGGCCATGCTATCGACCTTGTCCTGACTTTTTCCTTAACAAATTCTGGAAGCCTGAGCCTGAGAAGAAAAACCAGAGTGACCAGGGAGAAAGAGGGACATCTTTGACATCATCTATTACAAATGCTAAGCATCCATAGAAAAAAGCCTCTTTCTCTTTGATTCTTGCAGATATATAATGTTTCTCCAGGAAAGCTCCTCCAGGTTTCCAGCAAATATTTGTCTCTACCACAACTTAATGTGCCCTCTTGGAGGTCTGATGATCTTTTTACCTAGGTACACTGAACTCTGAGATGCAGAACCAAAAGTATTAAGTTGATAAACTCTGTTTTTATATGTTCAGTGCTCATTAGACCCAAGTTCATAGCTAGGCTGTATATATTTCATCATAGACTTACTTCCCTGAAAGATGAGGCAAAAACTGGGGGATAAGCCAAGAGTGGAAAAGGTTCTAGTGATAATACTATTAAAAACAAAGGCAAAAGGGAACAAAAATAGTGAATTTCTGTTAGCTAGTGTCCTCCCCCTACTTGATGAGACATCTGCCTTAAAAGAGAAAAGAGTAAAAACTTTTATCTCCAGGAAGGTATGCAGTGCTGCTGCTCAGAAAGTATCAAAGATGAACTATGCAGAAAAATGCATCAGAATGACAAGCTAAGCATTTAACTGGTGCAAAAGGTAAGGTGAGAGAAAGCTGGAAGCAGGGTCTCTGCAGGGAGTGACTCTTCAACCTCCCTCTTATAGAAAATCAATCCCTTTCATTCAAATGAGCTAAAGAAACCTTTCAAAAAGGCTAAAAGAAGAGATGTTTACTTCTCCATACTTCTCCATAGATTGAATGAAGGAGAACCACTTTATAGGCTTATAATTTTATAGAACTGTAGGTAGTAAATGATAGTAAATCATTCTTGTACATGTCAAGTCTGCACCACCAAGAGGGGAAAGCCACCAAAGTTGAAAAAAAAAAAAGGAGTGAAGGCTCTAGAAGAGTTCCGGCTGGCAGTCAACCCCAAGCAGGCCTAAAGACTCCACTGGGGCTTCTTCATCCTCTGCTACAGGGAGAAGGGAAAACTGTGGGCCTTTTAACAGAGGGCATTCACTTTTACCTTCTGAAATGTCTTGTCTGGTAACCTGATAAATATTAAGAAAACACATAAACAGGCAGGAATCATATCCTAGGCTGGAGAATGCATTGCCGAGCAGACCCATTATTATTTTTGAGGGAAGACTGTTTCTTTCACCTGTCCTCCCACACCTTCACTAGGCCTACTCTTCAGAGAGCACCACCCTTCACTCACCACACAAGCATGCTTACCAACCTCAACATCTGAGAACTCATGTTACAAGAATGACCCTTTCAAAGGGTTACAAGGCAACCCTTTGGTTCTTAGGCTGGCACTCAATCCACTGAGCCATACCAGCCAGGGCAAAATTACTTATTATTCTTATTTGATATAATGAAAATCCCAACCTACTACACCACAACAGGTCTAACCAAATTAGTTCTAGGACATTATAGTGATCAGGGCACTGATGTAATCTGATGGATACTCCAGACTTTGTCCATCCACCCATTCATTCATTCATTTATTCAATCATTCATTCAGTCATGACAAATCTTCACTGAAGGCCTAGAACATACAAAAAATACTCCTAAGATAAAAGAAGTATTCTCTCTACAGGCCTGCTGAAGCAAAAAGGAGTTATTGCTCTTTCAAACAATGCAAATCAACCCTCCCCCCCATTGTCAACTGAGGTAAAGATGAGGTAAAAACGTGAAAATTCTACCATCAAGGAACAATCCCTAGGTCAAATATACAGCAACAGATGGAAAGTAGATGTTTAGTGGTCAGCATGCAATAAACTATACAGATATCAAATTATAATGTTGTACACTTGACATTTATATATTACTACTGTACTAACCAGTATTACCTAAATAAAAATAAAGACAGAATCTATTCCCTCCGACCCCCCCTGCCCCCCGCCACACTTTCTGGTTGACTACAGCACTGTATCAGTCCTATTGACACCAGTATGACAATTCCAAGTATCCCAACCAAGCTTTCTGTCACTGGGAAAGTGATCAGTTCCTGTATATTCAAACAGCAAAACCTGAACTGAAGTTATCCCAGGTTCATCAAAGCAGGCAAACACAGCCCAAGGATTATTCTCAGTAAAATGCTGACCATAATGAAAAGCAGATGTCAACATTCAAGAAAACCTGCCCACAGCTCTGCTGGATCCCCAAAACCTACCCCAGGGGTCCTTGATCTACCCAATGTTAAACAAGAACTATAAGCTTAAATCAGAGCTTATTTGTTCTTTGTTACTCTCCCTGTCAACCTGCTGATTTCCAGATTTATAAACTTCATCAATCTAAAGGGACTACACAAAATATGTAACATTCTTATACTCTAACACAAAGTTTTGCAAATAAGTAGTCAGAACATCAGTATGTAATAACCCAATTAAATGGTGAAAAAGCCACTTTTTCAAAATTAAACTCAAACAAACACAATTTATTCACCCAAACAAAAGAGATATCGTGTTTCCAATAGGTTCCACATACATCAATTTATAATATGCAATATGGGTCTAACAGAAGTCTCCCTTGTCTTGTAGAATCAAATAAAATTTTACAACTAAACTAAAACAAGGGGCAATTTAAAACATACACACTTTAACTAAAGGGAGACATCTAGAGGCAAAAGCTTAAAAGTGGGGCTTTTTCTCCTATCTTTGGGGATCTTGGAGCCATAAAGGAGTCTTTTGAAATTCCTTCACTTAGCACTCATGCTTTAACCATGCAGTATGTGAATTCAATTCACTGAACAAAACAGTTTATTTTAACCTATTTCTTGCCATCTAAAAGGTCAATATTCCCCAAATCCCAGGAGACCCAATTAAATTTCATTCTTAGGGTTACTTTAAATCTCAATCTGTTGATTATATTAGCAGGTGGCACAGAAAAATAGTGGGTATGGCTTAAATTGATGAGACACATTGAAAATATTAACCTGCTCCATAGGAGAGTCTCAGGCTAATCACATGTGAAATGCTCTAAAAAGTTCAAAAGATTAAGGCAGAAGAAACTACACTTATTTTAATGAAACACTGTCTCATAAATTGTTTACTGACTTGCATGATCTGATCAGGAAGCTCTATCTTGTCCCTCTGTAGCCTTCACTAACTCAAATACCCTCAGGGTAACAAATGACTGGTGTTGAAAGAAAAAAAAAAAAGAGAAAAAATGGTTGAGAGAAAGACATCAGGGGAGGGGTGGAAAAGGCAGTAAACTGGAGAATGAATGCATCCCCAAACAAAAGGCATTCTTTTTTTTTCCTTTCTCTTAACCTTAAACTGGCCAAACTACTGTGGATGAAAAAAGGGGTTCTGTGGGAAGTAACCTCATTGGGTTGATCTGATCATAGATTTCTAACTAGGGAGGTCATGGTAGGTGTCACACCAAGGCATATAAATTCTTCAATAAAAGGCTTACCTTTGCCATAAGCCAGCCCTGCCTATCCACTGTTTCAGTGCATCTAGGTTAACACAGCTTTGAAATAACTCTATTTAGACTCCTCCTTCTAAGATGTGATTGCCCTCAAGAGAGTGCATAACCTTTACCTGATTAGATCCCTGCCTTGCTGTCTCCCACCCTCATGCAGTTCTACCTTCCTGAATTTCAATTGCATAAAAGAAGCTGCAAAACTATTATTCTTTGGAGCATTTGAGATCTTGCTTCCTACCTAGCATGTGTTGTCAGTTTGGCTCAGATTCTTACAAAAATTCTCTACAGGTGTGGACCATTCTTACTTACATCAATACTGCCTACCCTCTCATGTTGACCCCACCCCCCACTTGTTATGCTTTGTCTAAAGGTTTTCCAAACTTTTCCCCCTAATGCCTGATACTGAAGTAACGCAAATTTAAAAAAGAAAATATAATACCAAATGTGTGTATGTACAGAAAATGTCTGGAAAAATATACTCCAAGGTGTTACCAATAGCTATCTGGAGGTTATGGGATTATGAATGTGTTTATCCTCTTATTGTTGTTATCATAGTAATTTTCTAATAAGAAGAGGAAAAAGGAACTTTTAATTTAAAAAAAGAGTAGTATCAAAAGCCATGGCATACCCAACAGAGCCCTCACTACTTTGAAACTGAGAATAACAGACAGTAGGTCTAACAAAAAGCTAAATCCAAACATCACATTAATCAAGGAGAATTATTAAGTGGCAACATATTATCACTGCACTATACTCAAGTGATAAAATGAGGCAACTGAATTAAAATGTCAAAGCCCAGGCAAATTAAGCTATTTTCCAACTTTTTCCCAGTCTCATAAGGCCTTACCATAAAGATCAGGTCCATGTGGAGTAAAAACATTATACAAAACAATGTTGAGTGGTGCAATCACCAACTTCCCATAATAGTAGCTATCAATGAGCACCACAGGCACCTGAAACAGAGCAGAAAGTACACAGCAATTGCAGAGTTTTGCTCTGGAAACATCCTTACAATGCTAATAGGATAAACTTCAAAATAAAAACAAAATCAACTCCTAATGTTCTCTTTCCCACATCAGAAGTTGCTTTCACATAGTGGAATATACAAATAATGTATTATAAAATTAGATACCTGAAATTTATAAAGTGTTAAGAGATATTACCCTAGTAAATTAACTTAAACTAAGTTAAAAAAAAAAACAACAGCAATTGCTTTCATAAAACTTTAGAAAAAACCAAGAAAATGAGAAAACTCACCAGAAAGAGTATTAGAGCCACCAGTGCCCAATGAAAGAAGCTCTTCCACCAGCGTTTCATGACCAGGACATCAAAGGCAATAGGTAAGCTATTTAACAGACAAATAGAAAGCAGGGAGTTAAATACTTAGAGAGACTATAGACAGGTCAGATTCACACATACCTCCTGATGGACTGAGAATAGTATGTCTCTAGCAGTTATAGTGAGAAAAAAAAGTGGTACATGAGAGGATGTCTTCTCAAAAAATACATTGTTCTCTTCATAGGACCCATCAAAGCAGTATGTATCCCATGAAGCACAAGAAATATAAATAATGAGGTTCTGCAATGAGCTCTGTTTTAAATATATTTACATGTAATGGACATTTAAAATATATTAATTATAAGGAAATGTAGCCTACTGTCCCACACCCACCCTGCCAAATAAATACTAATTTCTCCCTTTCGTGATATATTAAGATTTTAGCAATATCATATTACAAACTTGACATGAATTCTGATATATCCTTTTCCAATACCATTCACTCTTTTTCCCCTTCATTTAAATTCCTTAAGCAAGGAATATGTATGTTGCCTTTACTATTTCTTCCTTAAGGTCTAGCATGAAACTGTTAAGACTGATCTGCAGTGACATCAGAGGAATAGTAGTATTAGAGATCCCCTTGGTTTCTCCCCTGGAAATTTGAACAAGTTGAACAACTATAACTCAGCTAAGGATTCCCTGCTCAACATATAGGCATGCCTAAAAGACCAATGCATTCAAGCATCTAAAGGTAAGCAAGCAGGATCAAACAGGGGAGGGGGAAGGAGAGGATGGAGGAGAGCTCAGACTGGTCATAGATAGTCTTGCAGCCAGGAGCCCAGGGGCAGGCTCAGCCTGGATAGGGGAGGAAACCAGCTGTGGCTGGCATTTCTTCCAGCTGGAAGGAGCAAAGAGACTCAGTAGGCATTCCTACAGGAGCAGTGCTACAGAATCACTATTTCCCCTGAGCAAAGGTTGCACTCTGTGGCTGATTCCCAGTTTGGGTGAATAGAAAGGGAACCCCTCAAAGTTATCAGAGATCACCATTACCAAAAGGACAGAATAAAGTAGGCAGCTGGATTTCCCCAGACAACTCCACCCCCAAGCACTACAGCTATACTGACAGAACCTGTAGAGGTCAGCTTTGGGATTTCACCGAGTTAAAAAAAAAATGAGTGACTCAGCAAGCACCATCTACTGGAAAATAATAGAAAGACCTTTTCACATTAGTCTACTAGAGGAGTACCATTAATACATTGATGCCTAGACAGAGAAGGAAACCATCAAGTAACATGAATAACCAAGGTAATGAGGCCACTCGGAAAGAAAATGAAAACTCTCCAGAAAGCAAACATGAATACATGTAACTATGTGATGTGATATAAATGAAAGAATTCAAGACTGCAGTTCTGAAAATACTCAGCAAGATACAAGAAAATACAGACAAGGAATTTAATGCATTCATAAAAGAAATTAATGAACAAAACAAGTACTTTCCCAAAGAGACTGAAACTTTAAAAAAGAAGCAAACAGAAATCCTGGAGATGAAGAATTCAGTAAAAGAGACCAGGAATAAACTAGAGAGCATAGAAAACAGAGCCTACAGATGGAGGAAAGAATTAGTGATATTGAAGATAGAAACCTAGAATGATGCAGAGGAAAGAAGAGAGACCTGAGTATAAAAAGAAAAACATGAACTTCCAGCCAAGATGGAGGCATAGGTAGACACACTGTACCTCCTCGCACAACTAAAAGACGGACAAAAAAAATTTAAAAACAAAAAACAACCAGAACTGACAGAAAACCGAACTGTATGGAAGTCCGACAACCAAGGAATTAAAGAAGAAACATTCATCTGGTAGGAGGGGTGGAGACAGGCAGCTGGGCAAAGAGGACTTACAGCAAGGCTGCGGCTGGCAGACCAGCAAGGCGGTGGACTGGGGACTGGGCTGTCCCACACTTGTGTGCAGATAAACCAGGACGAACAACTGGGGAGTGAGACAGACCTTGCAACCCAGAGTTCCAGTGGGGAAATAAAGCCTCAAAGCCTCTGACTGAAAACACCTGTGAGGGTTGAGGCAGCAGCAGGAGAAAATCCCAGCCTCACAGGAGAGTTTGTTAGAGAGAGTCACGGGGTCCTAGAACATACACAAACCCACCCACCCAGGAATCAGCACCAGAAGAGCACAATTTGATTGTGGGTAGCAGGGGAAGTGACTGACAGCCAGCAGAGAGGGGAGCAAGCAGCACTGTTATCTCTTGAACCCCTCCCCCACATACAGCATCGCAACGCAGCGACCTGGGTTGCCCTGGTGAACACCTAAGGCTTGGCCCCTCACTACATAACAGGAGCACTGACACACACACACACACACACACACACACACACAGGCCCAAATAAAAGAACACATCAAAGCTCCAAAAAAAATACAACTAAGCGACAAAGAGATAGCCAATCTATCAGAGGCACAGTTCAAAACACTGGTAATCAGGATGCTCACTTAATTGGTTGAATATGGTTGCAAATTACATGAAAAAATGAAGGCTATGCTAAGTGAAATAAAAGAAAATGTACAGGGAAACAACAGTGAAGGGTAGGAAACCAGGAGTCAAATCAACGGTGTGGACCAGAAGAAAGAAACATCCAATCAGAAACGAATGAAGAAACAAGAATTCAAAATAATAAGGAGAGGCTTAGGAACCTCCAGAACATCTTTAAATGTTCCAACATCTGAATCATAGGAGTGCCAGAAGGAGAAGAGGAAGAGCAAAAAATTGAAAACTTATTTGAACAAATAATGAAGGAGAACTTCCCCAATCTGGCAAAGAAAATAGACTTCCAGGAAGTCCAAGAAGCTCAGAGAGTTCCAAAGAAATTTGACCCAAGGAGAAATGCACCAAGGCACATCATAATTACATTACCCAAGATTAAAGATAAGTCGAGAATCCTTTTTTTACTTTATTTTATTTTTTATTTTAATTGTTGCTCAAGTACAGTTTTCTGCCTTTTTCTCCCATCCCAGCCCACACCCCCCCAGACCTCCCCACTTCCCTCCCGTTTCCACCCACCCTTGTTTTTGTTCATGTGTCCTTTATATTTGTTCCTGTAAACCCTTCCCCTTTTCCCCTGTAATTCCCTCCCCTCTTCCCTCTGGTCACTGTCAGCCTGTTCTCTATTTCAGTGTCTTTGGTTATATTTTGCTTGTTTCTTTGTTTTGTTGATTAGCTTCCTGTTAAAGGTGAGATCATATGGTATTTGTCTTTCACCACCTGGCTTATTTTGCTTAGCATAATGCTTCCCAGTTCCATCTGTGCTGTCACAAAAGGTAGGAGCTCCTTCTTTCTTTCTGCTGCATAGAATTCCATTGTGTAAATGTACCAGAGTTTTTTGATCCATTCATTTACTGATGGGCATCTAGGTTGCTTCCAACACTTGGCTATTGTAAATTGTACTGCTATGAACATTGGGGTACATAGGTTCTTTTGGGTTGGAGTTTCAGGGTTCTTAGGATATAATCCTAGCAGTGGAACTGCTGGGTCAAAAGATAGATCTATTTTTAGTTTTCTGAGAAAATTCCACATTGTTTTCCATAGTGGTTGTACCAGTCTGCATTCCCACCAACAGTGCACTAGGGTTCCCTTTTCTCCACAACCCCTCCAACACTTGTTTGTTTCTTTGTTTATGATATACCACTTCACACCATTCTGACTGGTGTGAAGTGGTATATCATTGTGGTTTTAATTTGCATCTCTCTGATAGCTAGCAATACTGAGCACCTTTCATGTGTCTCTGGATCCTCTGTATGTCCTCCTTGGGAGAAGTGTCTGTTCAAGTCCTTTGCCCACTGTTTAATTGGATTGCTTGTCTTCTTAGAGTGGAATCATGTGAGTTCTTTATATATTTTGGAGATTAAACCCTTATAAGGGGAGAATCTTAAAAGCAGCAAGAGAAAAGGAGACAGTTACCCACAAAGGAGTTCTTATAAGACTGTCAGCTGATTTCTCCAAAGAAACCTTGAGGGCAAGAAGGGGCTGAAAAGAAGTATTCAAAGTCATAAAAAGCAAGGACCTACATCCAGGATTACTCTATCAAGCAAAGCTATCATTTAGAATGAAAGGGCAGATAAAGGGCTTCCCAGATAAGGTTGAGTTAAAGGAGTTCATCATCACCAAGCCCTTATTATATGAAATATTAAAGGGACTTCGGTAAGAAAAAGAAGATAAAAAATATGAACAGTAAATGACAATAAACTCACAGTTATTAACAACTGAACCTAAAACAAAAACAAACTAAGGAAACAACTAGAACAGGAACAGAATCATGGAAACGGAGATCACAAGGAAGGTTATCAGCGGGGGAGTGGGTGGGGAGAGAGGGGGGAAAAGGTACAGAGAATAAGCATAAATGGTAGGTAGAAGATAGGCAGGAGGAGGTTACAAATAGTATAGGAAATGTAGAAGCCAAAGAACTTATATACATGACCCATGGACATGAACTAAAGGGGGGGAATGGGGTGAGAGGGGGTGCACAGGGCGGAGGGGAATAAAGGAGGGAAAATGGGACAACTGTAATAGCATAATCAATAAAATATATTTAAAAAAGAAAAGAAAAAGCAATATAAGACTAATAGGCAAGAAGGGAATAGCCTATTCAAACAAATAGTGGATGAGAACTTCCCAAGCCTATGGAGAGAACTAGATCCTTGAATCCAAGAAGCAAAAGAACACCTAGTTACCTCAATCCAAAGAAGCTTCTCCAAGGCACACTGTATTAAAACTGTCAAAAATGAATGACAAAGAAAGTCTTCTCAAAGTAGTCATGAAAAAGAAGGAAGTGACTTATAAAGGAAAGGCCATCAGGTTACCATTGTACTTCTCAGCAGAAACTCTACAAGACAGAAGAGAGTGGAACCAAATATTCAAACTACTGAAAGAGAGAAATTACCAGCCAAGAATAATATACCTAGAAAGGTTATCCTTTAAATATAAAGGAGAAATAAAGACTTCTCCAGATGTACAGAAGCTGAAGCAATTTATCACCAGAAGGCCACCACTGCAGGGAAATACTCAAAGAGGTTATTCTACCTAAAACAAAGAAGTAAAGGTCATAACACTACAAGTAAGATCACCAAAAAAACCTTATAGCATACATAGGGATAATTTGTGACAACAAAAACATAAAAGGAGAGGGGGAGATAAAGGTCTGAATTTGCAGAGAAGGAGAGAGATCAAAAATGGATTCAAAAGAAAAAAAAACTGTGTATATGAAACTTTCTGTCATAAACCTAATGGTAACCACACACAAAAACTCCAAAACTGAGATACACAGCTTAAAAAAGAGAGAAGTATGGAATACCATCAAACAAAAATAACCGATGGAAACAAAGGAAAAGAACCAATGGAGGCACAGAGCTACCAGAAAATGAAGGATAAAAGGGCTACAGGAAATCCTCATACATCAATAATTACCCTAAATGAAATGGACTAAACTCACCAACAAAGAGGCACAGAATAACAGACTGGATAAAAAAACAAAACCCAACCATATGTTGCCTTAAGGAGACACATCTAAGCCACAAAGACAAAGGCAGATTCAAAGTGAAAGAGTGAAAATGACTCTCCAAGCAAATAACATCCGGGAAAAAGCAGGTATAGCCACACTTGTATCTGACAAAATAGATTTCAAGATAACAAAGGTAAAAAGAGACAAAGATGAACATTTTATAATAAAAAAGAGGACATTACATCAAGAAGACATAACATGACCCAGCAATTCCTCTGCTGGGACTTTATCCTAAGAACACTAAAACACCAGTCCAAAAGAACCTATGCATCCCAATGTTCATAGCAGCACAATTTACAATAGCTAAATGCTGGAAGCAACCTAGATGCCCATCAGTAAATGAATGGATCAAAAAACTATGGTACACTTACACAATGGAATTCTATGCAGCAGAAAGAAAGAAGGCGCTCCCACCCTTTGCAACAGCTTAGATGGAGCTGGAAAGCATTATGCTAAGCGAAACAAACAAGCCAGGTAGTGAAAGACAAATACCATGTGATCTCACCTTTAACAGGAACCTAAACAATAAAACAAAGAAACAAGCAAAATATAACCAAAGACACTGAAATAGAGGACAGGCTGACAGTGACCACAGGGGAGAGAAGAGGGAATTTCAGGGGACAATGGGAAGGGTTTACAGGAACAAATTTAAAGGACACATGAACAAAAACTAGGGGGAGGGTGGTAATAGGAGGGAAGAGGGGAGGGTTGGGTGGGTGGGCTGGACTGGGAGTAAAAGGGAGAAAGCTGTACTTGAACAATGATTAAAATTTAAAAAATAAATTAAAAAGAAAAAAAAAGAAGACATAACACTTCCTAATATATATGCACCCAATCAGGGAGTACCCAAAATATATATAGCAACTACTCACAGAACTAAAGGGAGAAACAGACCAAAACACAATCACAGCTGGGGACCTTAATCCCCAGCTGGGGACCTAATCTGACAAAGGAACTCAGATTTCAAGCCTTGGCGACTGGGAAAATGCACAGTACAGGGTGGTGCAGTATGGAAAAAAATTTAGCTACAGAGTCAGAATTGGCTGGATCCAAAGCACACATAATCATAAAGGAAAATTACTCCACCTCTTGGACTCTATTTTCTCATTTATAAAGCACTAATAATTGATTTCTCCTGCAGAGCTCTTATAAACTTAGGGATAAAGTGTGTACAGAGTTTAACAGTGTCTAACATACAGCAGATGCTTAACAGTTTTCTATTCTCATTTAAATTAATAAAAACAATAAGCACTAAGAGAAATATTATTCCATTTCCCAGTCTTTCTTAAGTCCAAATAATTCCTCTAACTTTAGGTCCTATGCAGAGAATATGGAGATAACCTAACATTAAGATTTACTATATACCCAATGATATAAGGAAGATGAACTGTATTAGTTTCTTACCCAAGAGCCACACTGAATGGCCAGCCTACAATAGCCCCAGCTGCTACTCCAAGCACAGCAATGGAAGTCTTGTCCATATACCAGCCAGTCATGGCTATCAGTGTAGTATACATACAGAAACTACTAGGAAGAAATGCTGTAAGAATAAAGAAATGAAGAAAAAAAAAGTTTCAGGTTCAGGGATAACAGTTTAAGTATCAATTTTTAAAAATGTATCTATTCTTCAAAGGGTCAATAACCAGGAATATATCTTGAGCAATGCTGTATTAGAAAAGGGCAGCAAAGTGATATATACCTTCAAAGAAATTAAATATAATGATTTTCTTATTTTCTGTTATATTTTAGGTACCAATACATCACCCAATTAAAAAATACCAACCATGTGATTCCTCTCCAAGCCTGTATCCCAAATCTAAAACTTACATAATTTCACGTTCCCAGGTTATATTTCCAGGCACGGAATATGCTTCAAGAAACTTAGAGCAACTGCTGACTATCTATTTCTGAAGAAGATTATCTTCTGGTAGTCTTTTGAGGCTGTCCAGGTACCACCCTGTGCCCCACAGGAATTTTAGGAAGCCTTCTCAAGAACCAAATGTTGGTTAACAGCCCTCCTTTACATAAGTTTGGCCTTTAGATGTCCCTCTAATTATTGTCATCTAGCATCACTTTGCTGTTGTATACAGGAAAGGTCTATTTTCAGGTTCTCAGCCACAGTGACATTTGATCAAAGTGCTTCCACCAACTCTAAACAAAAATACAGATGTGCTTCTGCCTGCTGTATGAGGCCTACTTCACCTAGCACTATGAGGAAAAGCCAGTACCAACTCCAACAAAAACCACAATGAACAGGCAATAAGATTTAAGAAACTTAACAAAAGTTCAAGGGTTCTGTATCAAAGGATGCCCTGAACTGATCTGTGCCTTAACATCCTCAATTGAGATTATAAAAATGAAGACACTTCCAGGTATCTCCCTTATATAAGAATCAATTTTAGGAGTAGCAAAGTAATTATAAAAACATGTAGGGTACAGCCTTTACAGATAAATGCTGAATAGCATCAATGCCATCTCATCAGCAAATGCCAAGGCAGAGGCAAAGGGGGCAGAGGAATCTCAGGTCTCTGCCAGCTCAGAGGGGAGAGCAGTCTCATTTAGGACACTGGCTCTCAAAGGTACTCCACTGTGAAGCCCTGAGGCCTCTGAAGAATGACCTAGATTTTGATAGTCCTTGAAAGTATATACTTCTGAGCGGGACACTATTTTTTGTGCATATTTAGTATGTACACTAGATTCTGGTACACACAAGCAGAAATTAAAATTGAGATAATTATGTGTAGTCACTTAAATTTTCTGGAGAATTGGGAACAGCATACCTTTTGGCAGCAGGTTACCTTGGCTCAGGTCATAGAACACAAATGTTCACTGGCAGCATAGTTTGGAAGCCACCATTCTAGATTAAGGTTTTTATTTTCAATATCTAAAGTTTAGTGTAAAAACAACAAAAAAAACAGTAAAAGATTTATACCTTTTCAGAATACACTGCAAATACTGAAAGGGGCAGAATGGAGAACCATTAAGAACAGAGTTTTTAGGCACAAGAACCTTCTTGAGCAAAATAAGAAAATTATATTCCTTCCCCTAACAACAAAGAAAGGCAGGGGGTGCCTGTGTGTTTTAGCCTTACAGTGATAAGAAATATAATAATGTAATAGAAAACAGCCTGATGAAAACAACAGCTCTTCCACTTATAAACTGTTTGACTTTCAGTAAGCATCTCATCTTTCTAAGTTCTAGCAAAACTGAGAAAATAGTTATCTTACTTAATGTTGTAAAGGTCATTCAAGATTATGTGGCTAATAGTGCAAATTATTCATATGTTATACAAATATAACATATCTGGACAAGTTCTTTCTTTTGACACAACTATGAAGTATCAGTCCACCTGTTGTGCCCTCACCTACTCTTTACTTACCTGAAGACGAGCAGAACATGCCAGTGCTGAGAACCAAGAAGGCTAGCATCATGCGACTTACATGCAGCCCAAACTTTTTGCACACAGCCCTAAAAGAAAGACAAAGACTATCAGCACAACAAATCATAGGGATGTAAACTTCAAATCAAAAGACAAAAAATATGCCTGCATCACAGAGAACACTGACTATGTCAAGTCAAATACCAAATACCTTGACAGGTTTGTTAGCAATTTTCATGTGCATAAGAAACCCAAATGTTCTTACTCCTTATGCAGAAGCAAAGTGCTCTCCCAAAGACAAAACATATGTCTTCCATGCTAAGAGTATGTCTACTGACAACAGGAAAACAGCAAGATGTTGTGGAAAAATAATAGGCCTCAGATTCAGTTGGGAACAGGTTTAAATTTGGGCTTTGTCACTTGCTAGCAGTGACACCCATGTCTAGTTACATAATCACTGATTATCAGATTTCTCACCTGTAAAAGTGGATAATAATTACCTAATCTGCAAAGTTTCTGTGAGGCCAACACATGGCAAAGTGCTCATAAGAGTGCCTGGCAGAGTTGCTCAATAAATGGTAGTTATTGAAAAAAGACTAGGTAGGAGATACGCCAAAGTGTTAATAAGTGGTTATTTAAGTCAGTGTTTCTCATACTTAGGCAATTATACAATTCCTTTTACTTCTTTTTTTTTGTAGGTCTTTAAAAACATTATTATTGCTTCATTCAAACTTTGTTCAAATATAGCCATATGTTACTTTCTTACTCAGGTTCTTTATTGCATTTCAGAGCTTCTTTTTAAAATAATTTTGCTTCTTCCTAAGTATACCCTTTAGAAGTTCCTTTACTGAAGCTCTGTAAACAGTAAATTTGTTTTTTGTTTGGCTTCTTTTTCTTTATTTTTTTTTTGTCTGAAGAGCCATTATTTAGCTATTAGTCTTAAAAGATGGCTTAGTTGAGTATACAATTTTAGGATGACAGTCATTTCCTCTCAGTACTTTAAAGATATTACTTTTTTTGTCTTTGGCTTTTGAGAAGTCTGTCAATCTAACATTCCCTTGCAAGTAATCTATTAAGTTCTTTATCAACTTTTAAGATCTTCTTTGTTCTTTGTCTAGTTTTCTTAATTCCTTTTTAATTATCCCTATCAGGATATGTTAGCCTTCCTGAATCTGTTGATTAGCATTTCTTTTCATCAACTCTGGAAAATTCTTAGCTATTATTTGCTGTTGGGAACCACCCTGCCTGTTTTCAGAAGCTGTAAACTCCCCAAGGCTAAGGCTGAGGGGGCGACCTTTGGACCAGAAGCCACTAAGGAGACAAAGCTTACCTCCCTGGCAGGAGTGCTGCTTCTGCTCCTTTTACTTCATCCATAACTGGCCCCCAATGCTCGATCGGTTAGCCAATGATGGGTAAGATTCCCCAAAGTGGGGAACGACCTAAGCCAGGCACAATCACATGGGAGGCCCCCAAGAAAGGACTTTGGAGGGTACAGCAAAAGGGGGTGATGGACCCTCGCCCCTTGGCTTTGATAAAGCCTGAGTCTTCATTCTGTCTGTGAGAAGTCTCCTAATCTCTTGGTTGCCTTACTACCCCAGCCTGTCTTAAGCCTGAGACAATGCCTGAAACCTAAAACAATGACTGAGGGCAGTGAAGCCCTGTGCTGGAAAGTGTGGGTTTCCCCAGCAATCAGGCCTAAGAAAGAATATGAAAAATCCTGTGAAACCTGCTTTGTTTAGAATGCTCTCAATTAAATGATAAGGGTCCAAGCAAGAAGTGAGTTTGTTCCTCAAAAGTTTTATTGCTCTTTAGCTATCTGACCCTGACTCAAAATAGGCCCTCAGAGTTCTTTGTTATCTATTGTTTAATCCTTATTGCCTGACAATGGTTAATGAGCTTTACCTGTATTCTTGTGCAAACAAGCCCAATAAAAGCCCATTGAGGAAAAGGCCCTTGGCCCTTCTTTGAGAGATTGGCCACCTTTCCTCCCCAAGCAGATCATGTCTTGGTAGACTTATTCTCATCCATGGCGGCCAGAGGGGGGGCCTGTAGGTGGAGCCCCCCACAATTTGCCTCTCCCCATTCTATCATCTCTTAGAACCTGATTAGATATATATCAAATCTTTACTGTATAGTGGACACATAGGTAATTCTAATCTTGGTTAGTGTAATTAGTGTGGCAATGAACATTCTTAAACTCTTTTACTCTTAACCTCTCTTTTATTTCCTTTTGTTGTCACTCTGTACTAAATTCTTAGTAATTTCTTCAGATCAGTCTTCTAATTTACTTGTTAGCAGTGTCTAATCATGTTTTAACTATCCAGTGAATTCTAAATATCAATTATTACATCTTCATTTCTACAAGTTCTGTTTGGTTCTTTTTCAAATCTCCCTGGTTATTTTTGTAGTCTCAGTTTGTGTGTGTGTGTGTGTGTGCCTCCTTTCAGTTTTTAAAGTATATTTTATTGATTATGCTATTACACTTGTCCCAGTTTTTTTCTTCCCTTTATCCCCTCTCTACCCTGCAACTCTCCACCCTCCACCATCTCCCCCCACTCCACCTTAGTTCATGTCCATGGGTTGTACACATAAGTTCTTTGGCTTCTCCATTTCCTATACTATTCTTAATTTACCCCTGTCTATTTTATGCCTACCAATTATGCTTCTCATTCCCTGTATCTTTCCCCCATTCTCCCCCGTTGCCTCCCCATTGATAACCCTCCATGTGATCTTCATTTCTGTGACTCTGTTCCTGTTCTACATGTTTGCTTAGTTTTTGTTTAGGTTCCATTGTTGATAGTTATGAGTTTCTTGTCACTTTATTGTTCATAGTTTTTTATCTTTTTCTTAGATAAGTCCCTTTAACATTTCATATAAGGGCTTGGTGATGATGAACTCCTTTAACTTGACCTTATCTGGGAAGCACTTTATCTGCCCTCCCATTCTATATGATAGCTTTGCTGGATAGAGTAATCTTGGATGTAGGTCCTTGTCTTTCATATCTTCACATACTGCTTTCCAGCCCCTTCTCACCTGTAAAGTTTCTTTTGAGAAATCAGCTGATAGTCTAATGGGAACTCCTTTGTAGGTAACTCTCTCCTTTCCTCTTGTGTCTAAAATTCTCTCCTTATCTTTAACATTGGGTGACTTAATTATGATGTGCCTTGGTGTGTTCCTTCTTGGGTCCAATTTCTTTGGGACTCTCTGAGTTTCCTGGACTTCCTGGAAGTCTGTTTTCTTCACTAGATTAGGGAAGTTTTCCTTCATTATTTGTTCAGATAATTTTCAGCTTCCTGATCTTCCTATTCTCCTTCTGGCACCCTTATGATTTGGATGTTAGAGTGCTTACAGTTGTCCCAGAGGTTTCTAAGCCTCTTCTCATTTTTTATGCCTTCTTATTTCATCACTCTGTTCCAGTTGGATGCTTATTTCTTCCTTTTGTTCCAAATCATTGACTTCAGTCCCGGTTTCTTTCCCTTCACGGTTGGTTCTCTGTATTTTTGTTTTATTTCACTTTGCATAGCCTTCATTTCTTTCTTTGTTTTGTGACTGATCTCCATCAATTCTTTGAGCATCCTGATTACCAGTGTTTTGAACTCTGCATCAGATAGGTTGTCTATCTCTTCATCACTTAACTCTTTCTCTAGAGTTTGATCTGTTCTTTCATTTAGCCCATATTTTTTTGTCTTGGTACAGTTGTTAAGTTTTTAAGGGGTGGAACCTTAGGTATTTACCAACGCAGGGCAACCCTCTTTGCTGCACTGTGGCACTTTCTATGCTCAGAGAGGGAACAATGCCACTCACTTGCTCCTCTCTAGCCCCACTTTCCAACGAACACTCCTGTGAGACTGGGAGTTTCTCCCACTTTCATGACCCCTACGATATTTTACAGCTAGAAGTGTGAGTCTTTAGTTTCTCAGTGAGCCAGCCCCTCCTTACCCACGTTGTGTACCACCTTGCCTCAGGTCCTCTTTGCCACCCAGCTGCCCATCTCTGCCCCTTCTACTGGTGTGGATGAATGTTTCTTTAACTCCTTGGTTGTCAGAGTTCCATGCAGTTTGTTTTCTGGCAGTTCTGGTTGTTTATTGCTTTTTAAGTTGGTTGTTATCCTTCCTTTGGTTGTGCAAGGAAGCAAAGTGTTTCTACCTATATCTCCATCTTGGCCAAAACTCCTGTAGTCTCAGTTCTTTTTTAATTTATTTTTATTTTATTGTGGTAAGAACACTTAATATGAGATCTACCGTCTTAACCAATTTTTTAAGTATAAAATACAGTATTATTGTTATCCATTGGCATAGTGTTGTACAGCAAATCTCTAGAACTAATTCAGATTGTGTAACTGAAACTGTATATCCATTGATTGGCAACTTCCCATTTCCTCCTCCCCCCAAGACCTAGCAACCATAATTCTATTCTCTTGCTTCCATGAATTTGACTGTTTGAGAAATATCATATAAGTGAAATCACTCAGTATTTGTTCTTCTGTGACTGGTTATTTCACTTAGCCTAATGTCCTTAAAGTTCATCCATGTTGCCGCATATCGCAAGATTCCCTTCTTTTTTAAGACTGAATAATATTTCAACATATGTATATAACATATTTTTCTCCATTCATCTATCAATGGACATTTAGGCTGTTTCCAATCTAGGTTATTATAAACAGTGCTAATATAAATATGAGAGTGTGGATATCACCTTGAGATTCTGATTTCAATTCTTTTAGATATATACTAAGAAATGGAATTGCTGGTAAATCTACTTTTAACTTTTTGAGGACCCTCATACTGTTTTCCATAGTGACAGTGCCATTTTGCATTCCCACCAAAAGTGTGCGGATTCTAATTTCTCTACACCCTTGCCAACATTTAAGACTCTCTCCTTATCTTTAACCTTTTTTAAAATAGTCATTGTAACAGGTATATAAAGTGATCTCACTATGTTTTTGACTTGTATTTCCCTGATGATTAGTGATGTTGATTATCTTTTCATGTATCTGTTGGTCTTTTGTATGTCTTCTTTGGAGAAATGTCTGCTAAAGTCCTTAATCCATTATATAATCAGAATATTAATGTTTTTGGTATTGAATTGT